TTTATATATATAAAAGACTGTTTTTCTAAGTAATCTAGAATCTAGCTGCAAGGACCCGCTTCGCTGGGCAAAAAGTAACGATAGTGAAGATTAAGATAATTATATTATAGCCAACCTTACCCGTTTTCACAGAATGCAAGAATTAGGTCCCCCGTTTCCAGATTAATTAGAGAATTTTTACGAGTCTAAAAATATGTTCGATTTCCCGCAAAAACGCAAAAAACCACCTGTAAATCTTGCATGCCGCTTTATGTTATCACTTCCTTTGTTACTCAACACTTCCATTGTTAATACTTCCACTGTTACACATCTTCGAAGTCAACCACTTTCAACCCCATATCTCCCACACCCTTATAGCAAAGAATGCAAAAATTAGGTCCCCCGTTTCCAGACTAATTAAAGAATTTTTATGTCCAGTCAAATGACCTATTTTCAATTTGATCAATTTTCTGGAACATTTACAATCGTTCTATAATCGAACCAATTCAAATACAAATTCGAATTTAAACAGTTCGAACATTTTTAAAATCGAAATAGAAAATCTTCGAAGTCAACCACTTTAAGCCCCCATATCTCCTGCACCCTTATAGCTATCGAGACGCAACCACCATAGTGCACGAATGGAGACTTGGGGCTACTACCACATACAAACACCATTCATGTACGATGTGTAGTTTTGGATGAAAAGTGAAATATAGGGACACACATGTCCATTTATATATATATATATAGATTGTGATTTCAGATACAGATACTGAAGGAATTATACGAGGCATGTTCAGAAAGTAAGTGTATTGTGACCATAATGGGCTGCGATTTTTTTTGTTTTTTGAGGGTTGGCAACACTAAGTGGTAGAGAGAGATCTCCTGATTGAGTGAGCATTTCAGGAACACTGTAGTATGTAAAATCACATTGTAGTATCCAGTTGCATGAAAGATGTCTAAGAAATCTTACCAAGTGCGAGCCATGTGCTGTGATCTGCCTCCTATTCACAGAAGGAATAACACCTACCAAAATTTTTTTGTGAAACAAAACAGTTTATGGCAAAGGTGTTATGAACAGAATGAGTGTGTTTAAGTAGTGTAGGAAGTTTAGTGGAGGCAGAACAAATGTTCATGACGAACAGAGGAGTGAAAGACCTTCCATTTTGACTGATGAGTTGGTGCAAAAAATTGAGGAAACTGTTCATGAAGACCACCAATTGACAATGGATGAAATTTCTGCAATATTTCCACATCTCTCCAGTACTTTCTTATATGAGACACTCACAGAACGCCCATCCTCACACAACCTTAGCCACCAAGGCGCTCTTGGACTCATTTGGTTGGGATGTTTTGAACCACCTCCCTGTATTCCCGACTTGGCGCCTTCAGATTATCATCTTTTCACCTCCCCGAAGGCACACATGGGTGGAATTAAATTTTCAACTGACGAGCAGATACAGAAAGGTTCTGAAGGGGGAAGGAGCTGGTGGGAGAGTTCTTCAAGGAGGGCATAAAGAAGCTTGTGCCACGGCTCAACACATGCATTAATGGAATGACAATTATGTGGAAAAATAGTCAATAAGTGTATCAACAATATCCTCTAATTTTTTTTCAAATACACTTTTTTTAAAAAAATATAAAAATCTAGTAAACTTACTTTCTGAACATGCCTCATAATATAAATTTTACTTACTTGTTAGTGTTATTTGACAATATATATTGGATTTACTTGAATGAATGGAGTTAGCATGTAGCTATCCACTTTTAAAATAAAGAACTCTCTATACAGACTGATAACATGTTGAGAATGGAATACAAAACATTAAAAATAATTTAAACATAGGATGTGTTAACAGACTTAATTATCATGAATGATCTTACATTTAATAACATATGGGATTAAAAAACATTACATCATACTAATTGTATTATTCAATTTTAATTTTTTTTAAGTTGATAAATATAACTGGAGGCAGCCATGTTGCTTTGTCAGAGCTCACAATATCCACAACCCAATGAGTGCAATGTGCATCATTGTTGCACTGATGAACTCATTGGTGAATATCAGAACACTGATGCACTATTTGATGCATAGTGGAATGTATCCAATGTTTTCCATGTCAGAGTTTTTTTTTATTCCAGTTTGAACTCAAATCCACGATCTCTCTCAAAAGGTACTTTCCACAAATAATTTTAAGAACCCAGCAACAACACACTTTATAGAACTTTAAATCCATGATGATTTACTGAACAATACTCTTTGAAATGCCTGTTATTTCAGCAATTTTATGAATATTACATTCAACTCAAGCTTTGAATAATTTTCAAATCACATTTGCCATTTTGCTTGTCAAATACAAACTATTGAATGGAGAACAATAAAATATGCATGGTTACTGCTAATACTACTATCCACCACAAACCATATATGCCTGTTATGTTCAGGTTGCAAATGCAGATTACATACTGTGTAATCAAATTGCAAATATTGTACCTTAATATCAAACCACCACATTTATCATTAAGTATAAAAATCCTTTAATGTGTTATAATTATCTTTAATTTTATTAATCAATATATAAGATAAAAAATATATATTATTGTGACGTTGACACAATGCCAGGCTACAATTTTTAATCATATTTTTAATTTTAATTTAAAATATATACTCCCTACGTCATATTAGTAATGTCTTGCCCTGTACATCATACTTTCCTCTTAGCAATAGAGTTGTGTGTCATCTAACATTCATCTAAATTTTTGAATTGAAATAATGTGACTTCCAATGCAAACTAGAAGTTCATATGGAAATCTTGGGGCAGAAGGTCCCAATTAACTATATATCTGGTCTCAACTTTCATCTAACTTCGTTCTCTAGATTAAGGAAGGATAGACAGACAAATTCCTACTGTCATATGTATGTCTAAGTCTACAATTTTTTCAAATTGCAACCCAATTCCCAAGAATAAAACTAGCATATTTTTCAGATTTTCCATATCCTTTACTCATGGTGAGAAGCACTTTTTTAAATTATAACTTTCGGAAGGTTATAATTTAAAATCTTTGTATGTAATATTTATAGAAAAAAAAACTGAATATAGCAGTTAAGACAACTCAAAATTATTTTTATACCTTCTTAGTTACATTAAATGTAATTATCAAAAATAAAGAACTATTTTTGTTTTAAAAAGTTTCTTTTAAATTATAACTAAGAAATAAGTATTATACTGTACAATACTTAATAAAATTCGAATATTAACATAATACCACAATATACAGTAATTTAAATAAATTTTTATTCAAAATTTAAAAAGTTAGATTCATTATTAGGTGTAGGAAAATTAAATTTGAAATATGATGAAGTCTCTTCTTCAGATTTTTTTACATGCTTTCTTAAAAATTTTGATCCCAATTCATCTTTACACGCAGAAATTTTCATTTTGCTCTTATCTGAAAAAAAATCATCATTGTATTAAAACTTGTGGGAATTGTACTCACAAATAAACAATATACAGGGTGATAGGAAAATGTCTGGGTTAGAAAGGATGAATATAAAAGGATTTGCAGTACAATGCTTGTCTGGAAATGCTGCATGAAGGTGGCAGAGGGCCCTGTGTAGGGCAGTCGAAACAAGCTGGCAATGCAGAAAGCTGTCATTCCCTGCTGTGATTTCATACAGCATGAAGCGCTTCACGAATGCTGAACTAGCAGATATCCATCTGACATATGGAGCTGCGAATGAAAATGGGAGAGCTGCACATTGTACAGAGAATGATTTCCCAACAGAAAAATACAGAATCATCAAATTTTCAAGCAAGTGCACAGACAGCTTTGTGAAAGTGGGTCCTTCAATGCCAGCAGACATGATGTGGGCAGGCCTCGCTCAGCAAGAACAGTGTGAGTGGAAGAAGTCATCGTACGTGAAGTTGAGCACAATCCTTCCACAAGCACAAGAGCTGTTTCCCGTAGACTGGGTGTGAGACAGTTGCTTGTATGGGAGATTTTGCATGCCGAAGGTATGCACCCATATCATTTACAAAGAGTGCAGGCATTGATACAGGCAGATTTTCCTCTCCATGTAAACTTTTCACAATTTGCAACAGGCTGCTGTACAGCCCAACTTCCCTTCATACATGTTAACAGATGAGGCAATGTTCACTCGAGAGGGTGTATTTAACAGTCACAATGCTCATGTTTGGAAATATGACAATCTGCATGTGACAAGACCTCATGCTTATCAGCAGAGATTTAGTGTCAATGTGTGGGCGGATATGGTGCATGAATACATGATTGGGCCATACATCCTACCTCACCACTTGGATGGCCTGAAATACCCCATAATCTTGCAACGGGTCTTGCCCGAACTGCTGGCCGTTGTGTCTCAGTGCGTCTGGAGACGTATCTGGTTCCAGCATAATGGAGTGCCAGCACATTTTAGCTGTGATGTCAGGAATTACCTGGATGCTACTTATCGACACCAGTGGATTGGTCGAGGTGGACCTGTTCCCTGGCCGCCACAATCACTAGATCTGTCCTGCTTGGATTTCTTTCTGTGGGGTCACTTGAAAAGCATCATCTACGATATCCGTGGACTCCAATGTCTATCTCGTTGCTAGATTGGCTGTTGCTGCTGGCGATGTGCAGGACATGGCTGGTGTTTATGCTAATGTATGCCATTCCATGTGGCGGCGATGTGTAGCTTGTATTATGGTTGGTGGTCGCTCTTTCAAGCATTTGTGTGACACGTCAATTTAATGAATGGCTTGTTACATTTGTTTGTGTCTCTTTACACTTTCTTTACTCTCCAGGACTTTCATGCGCTGTTTCCAGACAAGCATTGTACTACGAATTCTTTTATATTTATCCCCTCTAACCCTCTTTAAATTTTGGCCAGACATTTTCTGATCACCCTATAGTATTAAAAATAATGTTAATGAAACAAAATTAACAGTATTACATTGTAAACTAACAACAAATTTATAATTACAATGTATACATTATATTATCAGATTAGCAGTAAGTATGTATGTTATTTTACTTCTATTTTGTTTGAAATATAATTGTGTATCATCAAATACATTCTAAGATCCTTTTATAGATATCTTATTCTAATAAAACTAGGAAAACATGCAGGGGTGCAATAATTATTTTTTTAACAAACAGATGTGTGTGTACAAAGTTCTCAAAAAACTGTACACACACATTTGTACACTAAATATTATTTCTAATTTATACTCTTACCTGTTTATTATGTAAATGATATTCAAATTATACATTAAAAATGAACTTTACATGTCTTATGTTTTGTATTCATAACATAAAGTCTCTGGTAAGTATAAGTCTATGTTAATATATTGGATGATCAAACAGCCTTTCTGAGTAGTAGTACTAGGGGTTCTGGGTAATGCCATTGGCCCCAGAATAACTAATCATTTGTCGTGTGTGCTTGGCTGATAGTGATGCCAAGTGTTATGCCAGACTAAAGTGAAGGCACATCTACACAAACTTATAATTATTGTTGTTATATTTTAAATTAACTGTTGCAATGTCTGGAAAATGTCTTACACCACAAAAGGGAACTTTTATAATGGAAATTTACATAAAGAAGAAAAGTTACTAAAGATAAAGATATTAACTTATACTGGAACTAGAAAGAATTAAACAAATTACCATCTTTTTAAATATTCCAGCAAATAATTTAATATTGTAAAAATGTTTTTGATCATCTTTAACGATGTTCATCAGTTAAATAATAAAGTAAATATATAAAAAAAGTTGTTACTAAAGATTCTTTAGTAACAGCTTTTTTACTAAAGAATCTTCTTTAGTAAAAAAGAAAGATTTTCAACTTTTTTCATCATATGGTGAGACAATCTCGCCATCGGACAGAAAAATCAACAAAAAGAAATTTTAAAATATACCATCGCCAGAGGGCAGCTTCAAAAAATCGACATATTCCCACGCCTATTCTAGTAGATATAAAGCAGAACCACCCCATTGGCTAGATGGATGAAGAGTAAAGACATCTGCATGTCACTGATTCCTTTTAATTGGGTGTTTTTGTTTTTTAAAGGCTTTTTTTTACCTCTGGCAGCATGAAGCCTAAAAAGGAAGGCCTGTCGCCATGAATGTGTATATGTAAAGTCTGGAATGCAAAATAAATGGTTGTCCCTTTTGGGCAGATTTGTCTTCGATTTGATTAATTATTTTATTTTTCTTCAATGCTTAGAGTCAATCATGAGAATCTGGGTGATCAATTGTCTAATTTCATGAGTTTTCTTTAAAATGTTTTAATATGATAACCAGTTTATTTCTTTCATATATTGAGTGTATCTTTTCAATATTTAGAAATGTTATAAGAACAGTCAATGTTTTTTTTTTTTTTTTTTAAATTTTTCAAATACTTAAATATTTTATTTTACTCTATAAAACAGATATTTTTTCCTTCATTTTGACTCTACCATATAGCATTAAGCCTTTTTTCCATGCTCATTATGGGGTCAACCAGATGGTGGGGGATGGGGGTCTGACTAGTGACCACCCATGAAAAATTTGAGATTGCTCACCCTGGATTCAATCCAGATTGCTAGAACAGTAGACTGATGACCTTAACTCCCTCAGCTATCTTAAAAAAAGCCTGTGATGTAGTTTGTCAAAGGCATTTTTCTTGAACAAAAAGTCTTGTAGAAGTTTAGCATTTTTGCCTTTTATGTAAAAGTTTATGAACTGATATAAAAAGTAATATTTACCTAACTTAAACTGCTTCTCTTCACTTTTCATTTTACTTCGATAATCTCCAAATGCTTGCCTCATAACCTGTCTTTTCTTTACATGTGGAGCCTTTGGGTTCCTAAGAACTTTCAGTATTTTCATTGAATCTTCAGCTGCATTGAGGTTATGATATTTATTTAAAATAAATTTTTAATAAAATTTCATAACTTTAAATAAGATTTACTAATTACTTTGCCTTGAATTCAATTTATCTGATGATAAAGAAATCTGTAACTGTTCAATACACCAAAGCAGTTCAGTTTCAAAATCCTAAATAAGAAATTAAGTTTTAAAATATTATAAATTATTTTCCATATTTCAGTAAATTACAGTAGTCACCATTGAACTTAGACCAGGCTGCATTTAACATGTCATCCAATAAATAGGTTTAAAAAAAGTAGCTTTGATTCATTGCACGAACCTTTTACTTAATTTAAAACAAATATACAGTAATTAATCTTTATTTTTGCTAAATATGAACTTGATATCTTGCAAGTTTAGAGCCAGTCAAACTTGAGTTACAGGCATCAAAAAACAGACTGCTGCATCACCCATGTCAATGAACATAGACCAGCTGATAATTTGCATTTAAATAATGTTACAATTGCAGTATTTCTGAAACAACTGATTATTTTAGCCTCACTTTAGCCTGCAGTAATCCTGTGAATGATATAAGGTGCTTTTTTACTTTATTTACAAACACCTTTTCCTTTTTGTCTACAATGACCAGCAGAAAAGCTGTTTCAGAAGATTTAAGGAATGCTATCATTGCTGAACAAAGTTGTGGCATGTCTGAGAGAGCTATTAGAAAAGAGCTAATGCTAAGCAAGACAACAGTACACCAGATTATTGTTTATTACACTAACCATGGCCATGTTATACCTATCAAAGCTGCTGGACATAAGTGAAAAATTTCAAAAGTTGATGATAGGAGTTTTAAAAGAATCGTAAAAAAACAACTGCTGTGCCACAGATATTGAATGATACATTCTTTCCAGTTGTATCATTCAATACAGATACATTCTTTCCAGTTGTATCTGTTTTGACAACATGCAGGAGACTGCAAGAAATGCATTCCAGTTCTATGCAGCATGTGAAAAACCTTTGTTAACAGCACATCAAAAGAAATGGGTACAGTCACCAAAGAACATCTTTCCTGGTCTCAACAAAAATGGCATGAAATTCTGTGGTCTGATAAATCAAACTTTGAATTATCAGCAACAGACAAAAGCAAACATGTCATTCGATCTGCTAATGAAGCTAATGATCCATTGTTGTTAAACCACTCAGTGAAGTTTCCTGCCAGCATCATGGTTTGAGGATGTATGAGTGCCAGTGGTATGGGTCAGTTGACATTTGTTGATAGAACACTTACTTCAGAGCAATACATTAACATTCTAAAACAGTGTTTACTTCTGTCCATAGCAAAGCTATATCCAAATAGGAACCTGCATTTTCCAGCAGGATGGTGCCACATGTCATACAAGCAGAAAAAAAAAACAGTGGCTTGCATAAAAGAACATAGAAGTTCTTCCTTGGACATCCAACAGCCCAGATCTTTCACCAATTGAGAATGTGTGGAACATTATGAAGAGATGTTTGCAAAAAAAACACCCTTGGACATTGAAGGACTAAAAGATACCATACTAACTAACTATCTGGATGGCAGATGAATATGAACACCTAGTCAACAGCATGCCAAAACGTATGGAAGGTGTTTTGCCTGCAAAAGGTGATGCAATAAAATATAAAATATGCAATCTATGTTCATTTATAGGAGTGATGCAGCAGTCTGTCTTTTGATGCCTGTGACTCAAGTTTGACTGACTCAATCTTGTTAAACCTGCAAGATATCAAGTTCATATTTAGCAAAAATAAAGATTAATTACTGTATATTTGTTCTAAATTATATAAACATTCATGCAATGAATCAAAGCTACTTTTTTTAAACCTATTTATTGGATGACATGTTAACTGCAGTCTAGTCTAAGTTCAGTGGTGACTACTGTACTGTATAATCTTGATTTAACCTAAATATAACAAAATTATGCAATAAGTAAAAATATCATAATGTTTGTTTAGTTATGGCAATGCAACACTTGGGCGATCTGCCTAGGGGGATGCCTTTCAGGAGGTCTTTTTAATTAAGGGAAACTGGACCCTAATTTGGCATTACAGATGTGGAAAAACCCAGAAAACTCCACATGGCCAGCCCATCCAAGCAAGGTGCGAATCCACGACTGAACTCCCAGTGTTCAGGGAATGAAGACCACTTGTTCACTGGTGGGCAAAAAATAACATAAAACTCAAAAAATATGTCATTCTCAAAGTCAATTGCATTCAGTAGTAGTAGGGAGGGAAGGGAAAATAAAATGGAAATTCTTGATTTATATTAGACATTTAATAGTTTAATTTCAAAACATTAAATATTGATGATAAATATATTATATAACAAATTAATATTTGATGATTATATAAATTTTTAACTCTTATTAGCATTTTACAATGGATACACATTTTAACATTAGTGTTACCATTCTATATAAAGTAACTTATTAAAGATACAGTAATTTTTTTACATTTTTATACTCTTTTGTAATTGTTATATTTTTATTTTGTTAATAATTTATTAATCATATGCCATGTACAATAGGATCTTATTAAAGTCACATTAAATAGAATGGTAACACAAATATCAAGCAGAAGTTAGAAGGGCTAGAGCATTAAAAAAAATTAATGGCTACACATGAATAAATATCAAATAAAAACTTAAGGATATTCATATCTAAAGAAAGCATTTCTTATACTTTAAATATTTTAATCAAATCAGTCAAAAGTTATCTTATATTTAAATAATTATTGTTATTCTGTAAGACATTATATAGTACTCAAATGTTGATGCACTTATTATCAGGTTTTAGCTTATCTGAAAATAGTTTGCATCTTAGATTTGATGTAATGTGTCAAAATTAGCAACATCTAGTGCCATGCATCTTATTTATCTATCATTAAAGTCACTAATTCCATTTCATCATTTTAATGATTTCATTAGACCAATGTTTATACAGTGGAACCTCGCTTAACGAGCAAAACAAATTTGTGAAAAAAATGCCTCGCTTAACAAGTGACATATTGCATAACGAGTGATAAGGAGAAGGGCAGTCCTGGATTGTGCACATACTCCATCAGTCTGTATTTAGCACTTGTTCCATTAGCATCTTAGGGTCGAGTTATAAACTTCATAACGTATCCGTAAATGTTTGCTACACTGGATATCTATAACAATAGTTATAAAATACCAAAAGCCGTTTCCTTATCCTTTAAGGAACAAACTTTTTTTACAGCTTACGAAGCAGTTCATTGTGAGAATGTGCAAAATCATTGGCTGATGTTGCCAGATCTAACACTATAATTATTTATTCATTTTATCATTTTTCTATTTTTTTATGATCAAAGTAATTCTTATCTTAAAATTTTATATTGTTCAGAAGTAGCATTGTCAGTCAAAAGATACATTTCAACCAATTTGTTGCTTCCAGCACAACTTATGATTGTATAGTGACTGACTTAGTTCATGCACAGTTCGTAAATTCGCCATATCCCTACCGTAAGTTTGGTTGACCCAACTTTTCTTACCGAATACGGTATGACCATACGGTTACATTACAGAGTTTATAACTCGACCCTTAGTGTCACTAGTAATCACATATTTTTCCAAACTTGTGTTCAGACATATTACATATAAACATCAACAATCATAGCCCATTATATAATAAACATGCCAAACAATATGTCAAATTCTTGGGCTATGTAAAGGCTATAATTAAATACAGTATAATTTTCTTTGAATACATGTTATACATAAAATATTTGAGTATTTTCAGCATGGAATGCATTACTGTATATTACATTCATTTATATGGGAAAAATTGTTTCACTTAACAAGTGTTTCACATTAAGAGCAAGATTCTGGAACGAATTATGCTCATTAAGTGAGGTTCCATTGTAGTAGTAAATATTTGAGGTCAACTTAGTTCAATTTCTAGTCTGTTACAGTAACATCCTAAGTCAGGCATGGCCAACATACGGCCCGTCTAATGAATTTATGTGGCCCATGATCAATCTTTCAATATTGGCTACTCAAGTCCAAATAGCTCGATGAAAAATTCTGACACCTAAAAAACAAAAAAAAAAGTTTCAACAACTCACTGTGCGTTTAGAGTTAACCCTCCATTACAAATCTCGTAAGTACAGTGTAGAATGTTGATAAAGAATGATGATGTGAAAAATGTATCTAATCTCTATCTACAATTTAGTCTCTACGGGGTGACATCACAATGAGATCTCGCACGACCTCAAAATCTTCCTAGGGCAGCCTCTGGTTTGGCCCATGGAAAAAGTTTTCTTTCTAATTTGGCCTGGGGGCAAAAACTGTTGGCCACCCGTCCTAAGTACTTAGATGAAGATCCCAGAAAATGTGCAGCAGGCTTTCAAGAAAGGTTACATTGATGCTTTAAACAGCATTAAGGATGAGTACAGGAAGGAAGATGTGAACATCAAATCCAAGTTGATTCAGAAGAATCCACCACTGAAGACAATAATACTTTACTTGATTTTATTTGAAAATTTGTTCAATATTTACTACACAAATAGTTTATTGATATAAAATTGTCTCAAGTTGTCTATTTTTCAAAAACAAACAAAAAAAAAACGTGGTTGAGTAAATTGAAATAAATATGGTAAATGTAACTAATAGTATAATTATTATTAGGTAAAGATTGATTCGTATCTAAAACTTTCTGGTATTTTTCTCTTAATGCCAGCCAATATGTACAGCAACAGGTAAGATTCAAGCTCTGAATGAGAGATTTCACATCACCTCAGAATTGTTGACCCTTCACAAGATATTCACCTCCAAAGGTTAGTATTTAACATATATCAGTATACTGCCTACTTGCACTTTGATGCAAGCAATAGCAAGCACCTCAGTGCCCATATGGGAGAGCCCCATACCCCCTAAAACTAGATAACATCAAGTGACAATGACTATGAACAATGGGCTACTCAAAGCTGGCACAGTCACTTTGGCTAACTAGTTAAACATGTTAGTCTCAGTGGAGGAATGTGGGCGACGGTATCGCACATCGGACTAATGTTGCAACTGGCATTAACAGAAAAGAACCACTTTCCTAAAGCATCAGTTTTATTTTATTCTAAAATGCATCTGATAACATTAGAATAAAATCAAAATCTTTTATAATTTTACTTCAGATACTTCAAATTATGGTGAACATCAAATTAACTGTATATAATTTAAGTCTAGTGAAACTAGAATAAGTTTCATAACTTATTCAGCTTATTTAATATTGAATGATTGAATTCTTTTATGAGGCAAAGATTGATTGTTAATGATCTACATTCAGATATTTTGTAAATATGAGTTATGAAACTTATACAGTAGAGCGTCGATTATCCGAAAGCCAATCATCCGAAAGAATTCCAGTCGGCAAATTTAAATTTTCACCAGTGCTGTGGCGCTGCAATCTTTTGACCACTCAAATATTTTACGTTTTTGATACTAAATTAACTTCTGAAGTATAATTTTTTATTGTTTTTATATTTATCAATATATTCATTTTGTTCGTACAAAATAAAAAAATAATTTTTAACGATACAATAGTCTTCGTTAGGCTTAACATCGACGAAAATTCAACGAGAAGCGACACCCAACGGAGAAAAATGCCAAGATGGGATAAATTAATATATTTTTTCATACATAATCGGTTATCCGAAATATCGATCTTCCGAACAACCCCAGTCCCCAATTGAATTGGATAATCGACGCTCTACTGTATTTATAAAATAACTCCACTAAGACAATCATGTTTAACTATTTAACAAAACAAATATGCTGGCTTTAAGTAACCCACTTGTAGAGTACTTGATGTTATGTAGTTGTAGTGGGGTGTAAGGCTTGCTCCCACACCCCACTACAACTACAGGTGCAAAGGTGGTGTTCACTATTGCTTGCACCAAAGCAGGCAACGACACATGGAGCATCGGTCAATGCAAGCAATACTGACCAACACGGAGAATAAGTACACAGTAAAAACTAATCTTTGGAAGCAAATATTTTGAAAAAAGTCACATATACAGGTATGATTCCTTTGACTTTTTTTTTGCTGGCACAGGAAGGTCTCAATTCTGGATAGGTGGGAAATTCTTCATTTAAAGTTCACATCTTACCAACTCACTGAACTTCCTAAAGGTGAAAACCCAATTGTTGTAAATCAAAAGGGATATTCAAAGTTAAAAGTTGACAGAATATTTTTAATTGGGATTAGTTATCATAACCAAACCATGCAAGCACATAAGTATAACCATGTTCTTTCCTAACGGTGTTATTAAAGTTATTCTTAATCAACATATTAAAGGTAACTTACTGTCGTTGTATCTTGATCACTCGTCTCATTCTGAATTATCTGTGGAGGTAGTTTTTTCGTTTTCGATTTCTACAATATTACATGAAAATTAAATTAATTTTAAACTGTATTTTACACAAAAATACTTCACCTTTAAACTTACATTACTTGTCGAAGCTGTCATTTATAAAATATATTTTTACTACAGTTTCAATTAAACTTGGAAAACGATTACAAACGTGTATAAGTTGCTATCCGTATATTTAAAATAAGATCAAACGCCATCTATAAACTTGTCACAATGTCATTTATAACTAAATTTTGTTTAAAATATTATAAATTTGTAATATTTTATGTAATTATTTATTATTATAAAATATCCTAAATAATTTTAAAAAGTTTTTATTTATTTAATTTCTAGAGGCCTCCGCTTCTCTCGCTCGACCGCCCTACGGGCATCCCCGATTTGTTCATATCAGTTGTAACCGTTTATTTTCGAACATTTCTTAAACGCGTTCGATCTATAAATTTCTGAACAAAAATTTATACATTTATTACTGACAAATCGGCATTATTATATATAGGAAATTTTCAAATGATGGCGTGGTAGCGAGTCATTATGCACTCGAGGTCGACTCTATTTTTTATTTTTCAAACAGCTCACATTATCATAATTTAAGGCAAAAGGGGGTTAATTAGTTCATTCTACCACCTGAGCAATAAAAGGATTTTTAAAATGCCTATTGAGTTCGGTCATATTAGTAATGAGGCGGAATCTGATATATCCAAACCAGACCACTGAAAAATTTCTAAAAATCCGATCCTGACTCGATTCCGGATTCCTCGGAGTAGAAGGCACACACTTTTGCTATGTGCCTATCCGGTTTTCACACGGAAACCAATTACTTTATAATGTGTTTCATCAATGTGTAATGTGTGTCAATCAATGTTGAAGATTAATATTACATAGAAGGTACAGTACGTAATTATTTACGTACTGTACCTTGTATGTATGTAAAATATTAATCTTGAACATTGATTGTCTAATGCGGTGTTTTTCAAACTGTGGTACGTGTATCAATGCTGATACGCCGACAAATGCCAAGTGGTAGGTGAGGCTTTGGCTGATTGAACTGTCGTGAATTTTTAAAATTTATTTATTGATTGATGTATAAATCGATGCTACTAAATTGGGGTGTTAAAATTGCTCTATTCGAAGATTGAATCTACAAACAAATATTAAAAACAGACAAAACAGGGGACAGTCCCCTGAAATCGGGGACGTCTGGTCATCCTAATGTTTAGGTGTTAGCTTAGACCAGTGATGGGCAAACTACGGCCCGCGGGCCAGATGCGGCCCCCTGAAATGTTCTATCCGGCCCGCGCGACATTATTCCTAATCTGACGAGTAAAAAAGAATACAGGCTGTGGTGGTTGATGCACCACTTAACTTGAGTGTTCGTTGATTATATAAAATAACCGAAGCTTTATATCTCACCATGAAAGTTTATTTACAATCATGTACAAAATTTTGTTTTACACTTATTGAGTAAAAGCTCGATCGGTTACAAGTATGCTTCGGTACAGAACATCCACTCGTCGTGCGTAGCGTAGCCGAAAGAGAGAAAAAGAAATATGGCAGACGGCCTGCACATGTTTTTATAGCACCACCTGGATTTTCAGATGCAGCGCTAGGTTACCATTATATTGGCCCGGCTAAAGTTTTCTTCTTTTCCTTTGGCCCGCTCTTTATAAAAAGTTTGCCCATCACTGGCTTAGACGGTCAAGGTGGCAGCTACCGCTCTGAGGGACTCGGGTTCGAATCCACACAGGTCGATAAATCCCAGAAATTTTTCGGGGTTGTCTGTTTGGATATGTCGGGCCCCGTCCCTCACCATCCGGCCGCCTCAATGTGGGCCTGACCGAACCCATAATGAGCTTGCTAATGGAGACCCTCTTAGTGCCCACGGCACAGAAAGAGAGAAAAAAAGGGCCCTCTTGTTGCCTACCGGATGGAAAGAAAAAAAAATACTTCATATCGAAATAGATTAATAATTAAAAATATACAAATATATAATTTATTGTAATAATAGTATAATAAACAATTTAAATTTATAAATAAAAAAAATAAAATAAAACAAAACATTTTTTTAATAATTGGAAAAGCGTCCCTAGTGGCTATTTCCATAAATAGTCTTGTCTGCTATTAGTTGTCGTTATTTGAATTGTTATTGAATAAAGTTGATGAAAATGTCTTGCGAAGTGCCATATATATCGTATATGGCACTTTACGTTATATCTTTACATTTTATTAATTGCAATTCTAGAAGTTCTGTTCATTGGAAATTAAGTTTAGAAGAAGATTCGATCGTCGAGATTAGTGCAGACGACAAAACGTGTTCTACACTAGGCCTAACCCCGATCACTTATAAGGTAGACGATGATTTAGTTTTTAATATTTTGACGTCCACAGTAATCGAAAACGGTAAATGGATCAAAGAATATCCCGCAGACGAATACTTTTCGCAGAATTCAATTGAGTAAGTACAGATAATTGTATTGTTTTTGTTAAATTAATTGATAAAATTTGAAGGAAAAATTAAATCAAAATGTTATTTTCATAAATTTACGAGTGGGAAAAATACCCTAAATTTCAATTAACATCTACATTTAGAATTGCTTTACGACACTAAATCCATTCTAAAATGCCATTAAACGTAGACAAACGTGCGACGACTAAAACGAGTAAAAAAATTAAAGCAAAACATTTTAAAATTTGTAAAAAAATATAACAAAATGTACTACTGTGTGTTATCGACTATATCTTGGGAATTTGTACACTAAATTATAAAAAAAAAAAATAGAGTTCTGTGATTGATCTGCCGGCAGTCCAGAAATATTTAATAATAGTGTACCGCAAGCTTTGCATGACTGTTTAAGTATGATGAAGATTCAAAAACGTTGGGAACCGCCAGTTTATTATATCAATAAATTTCTTGCATTTTTTTCTTCTGTACAAATCATATCTTATATGAATGAGATGTATGTTTTAAAATTTCGTATTGAATAATTAGCTTTGGTATTTATTGGTTAAACTATTCGTTTCTTCATATACAGTTGTATAATACATATTTTTTTTAAGATCTTTGCTCTTTTTCTTGGATAGGAAACATTTTGCGTAGTTTTATAGAATATGTGAATCGGTTATCCACGTCACTCTTTATCCCATTTAACGAACATTGACCTGTTTTGCGTTCCCACTGAACCTGGGCTAAACTTGATAGTCAAGCTCTATGACACGACTTAATTGCACTTTAAATTGATGTTTATAAACTCAAGTGAGTGTAAGTGTCATATTATTTAGGTTACATCAAATTTAGAATTTTTGATTTCATTCAGTTATTGTTCAATACCTTATCATATTTATTTTTCCTCAATGTTCTTTGCAGATGCAGATTTATATATGTTTCTAAGTAATAAGATTGTTAGAATTTAAATTGTCTGAAAATGTTTAATATTAAGAAAATCATTTAAAAATACCATGTAAATATTTTCAGAAACATCTGAATATTGACCAAATCTAATTATTTGTTATTATTTTAGAATACATTTAAAAAAATAAAATACAGTATATATACCCTAGTTTTTGATTTTGAGACTCAAGGTAGCAATATACAGGAAATTATTGTAATATTTTTTATCATTTTATAGGTTGTTTAGACAACTTTTAAAGCAGAGTTATTTGAACATTTGTAATAGAGTGGCAATGTATTTTACAATAAGATGTTTATAATGAATTAACTATAGTAAGTAACAAACAAAAATTGTTTCTTACTTATTGAGATTTTACATTAATTAATATTATTTAAATCTAATAAATTCTACTTTTACTTACATTAATATAAAAATATTATATATGAATATGAATATAATTTGAATTTAAATTCTGCTCTTTTGTATTATATCTTTATTCTGTTTAATTGATAAAACTTGTTTAACTGAGGGAAAGTGCTTTTGTTTTCATTAAATATATGCTGTTTTGCTATTGTAATCTTTTGTGATTGATAATGAAGGATTCATTTCTAATGTCACATTCATGCTGATTAATGGTGATTCAATTTTGACGTTAGCTATAAGATATATCATAAGCCAATAGAGATGTAAGATTAAGCCAAAAATTAGCTTATGATATATTTTTGAGAAACTATTAAGTTCTATAGATTTAAAATATGATAAAAAAAATAATTTGAACAAAAGGGTTACATTATTATGTAAGTTTTAAATTTGTATAAACATACTGTTGTTAGTCATCCCCAATCAGCAATTAGAAAAGCATTCATTGTTTAGTGTGTAAACATAAAATAGTTACATTAAAATCTACATTATTACAAAGTTGGCAATCCAAAATTGTAATTTCTGCTTGATATTAAATGCATCATTTAGTGTCTACTCAAGAATTATTTCATCAAAACATATAAGTTATGACATAAACATACAGAATGATTAATCAAAACATAAAAATTTTGATTAAACATTAAACAAAATAAGCATTGTAATGATTTTATATGATAGTACTAATCTATTAATAATATCCATATGCATAAATAACAATAATAAAATAAGTGATTATTAGCCTACAATCAATTTTCCACCCCAAATACTAAATGACTTACATGACAAGAATTAAGCAGGGGTAAGGTGTTACATTTTTGTTCTTCATTTTCAATACACAATTATAATTTCCAAAGTAATGCAAGTTATATTAAAACTTTATTCTTACCATAAACATGATAAATTACTTTCTAATTAAAAATATATATATAATAATTAAACTGGACAGTGGTCAGGATAGCCTAATTATAATTAAATTAGAAGGTTCTGGAAGAAAAGAATTGGTTTAGAGCAGGACTCAAACCTGCAATTCCTGCTTGCCATGCAGATGTGTTAGCAGTTATGCTACTCTGACCACTGTCTGATCTTTGCTTCCAGAACTATTAATTTAGATATGATCATACTGGTTATGCATGGTGCTGATTGGAATAGGATGACTTTAGCATCCATGGCCTGTAACACCCTCAAAGGGAATTCAGCTGTTTTCAGCTGGTACACCAGCATTGTCTATATATACTGTATACAGGCATCCATTATATCCTAATTTAATCTGGTAATTGTTTGGCATTAATCAAAAAATCAGGTTAATAGATATTTATATCAGGAAGAATACATGCAAATAATAAAAACATAATATAAATAGGATAAAATAAGTAAAAAAATACACAGAAAAAATGTTTTTATTATTTGTAATTGGGCTGCAATTTTAAAATTGCAGACACATAAATTCCTACTGGCATCCATCTGTCTGTCCTTCCTTAATCTCTAGAATGGAGTTAGATAAATGAAAGTTAAGACCAGAAATGGAAAGCTTAGGAGCTGGAGGCACCAATTAACTATATATGAACTTCCAGTTTGGACTGAAAGCCA